TTTTCATTATAACTTGTGGGTATAAGTCACTTAATGTGCTCTGTCGAACGATTGGTTATCATTTACCACAAAATCTGGTTCACTGAATCCCTAAATTATATCAATATTTGTGGATAATTCTACAATTAAGGTCAGTTCTGGTCATCACGTAGGAATTTTAATTTAGGGATCTTTTTAACATAAGATCAACCACATATACAGTAATCCATTACCGTCCTAGTACTTATAAAATACTGAATACCTGTTATCCATTAGTTTTACAACACAAATCGAAAATTTTACTGTCTAGAAGTCAATTCTGGTGACCAGAATTGTCTTTTATTTATTCTCTATATTTCCTTACATAAAGCGTGAGCATTGTAAATAAAAGTTATGATAAACCCTTCAGAGAAGACAAATATTTAACTCACAGTCTCATGATAAAATCTTTGCATCTGGTGACCAGAATAGAATTAAAGTAGAGCTACAGAGTGTGCGTGCAAAACTAACTGTTCCTTCACAGCGAAAGGCTTGCTCTGACACACTGTTTTCTCTGGGTTAGACTTGATCACCGCTTTGTTTTAAAGGAGAATATTAGATTTAGTTTTTAAATGAATTACAATAACTAGATAAAATCGATAAGATAAGAAGACAAAAATAGGATAAGATTTTAACTTTTTACATTGTGTTTTGAATCTGGTGACCAGATCATGGTGTAAGAGCACATATCATTTGAATAGGATTTGTGTTGTAAAATTAATGAATAACAGGTATTCAGTATGGTATGAGTACTAGAAGGGTATTGGATTACTGTATATGTGGTTTATCTTATATTAAGAAAATCCCTAAATCAAAATTCCTACGTCCGTACTTGGTGACCAGAACTGACCCTAATTGTTGAATTATCTAGAAATGTGGATATAATTTAGAGATTGCTTCAGGGAACCAAAATTTGTGGTAAATGATAGACATTTCTGTCGAACTGCGTAACAATAAGAGTTCCAGCTTTAATTTTGAATTTTTTAAGTAGAGGATCAAAATCGTATGAAATTTGTAAAAATTTAAGTAATTACGTCTGTTCATCGAAAACACGTCAGGGTATATACAACTTGATGCGAGATGTGCGTGAGCGTGACTATTGATAAAAATAGTGATCACAGTAACTTAAATTAGCAAACATGACGAAAAAAAATTCTTAACCAATATTTCTGCCTGAAAAAATTTTTTTGTTGACTTCTCCCGCTAATTTCAGATACACTAATTATTATTCTCCCACAAAAACTTAACTTCGAATGAGGATGGTGCGCTGTTACCTCGGAAGTCCTTTTTTCTGAGAAAAAACTACGTAAATATTTGAAAGAAAATTTCTTATATCTACCATTGCCTGGACCAAAAATCTTGGTCACATACATGTCAAGTCATATTTCCTTGTCTTCTAGTCTTAATGCTACTCCCCTCCCCTCTTTTTGGACTTTTCGTAGAAATACTGTGCAATAAAAGCTAAAAGTCACTATTTTCATATTTTCAGAACTGATTGGAAGCTCAATGAAGTATTTTTCGTTTTTGTTTCAAGTTTTTAACTATTTCCTTCACGAGTATTTTAGACAAAAAACTTTACCATTTTCGTATCATAAATAAATTTTTTTCTTCAAAAGAAATACTTACTGGATTTTTTTTGTTTCGAATCGTTTCGAAGTGAAAAAGGCGTACAATACAAACATTGTTATAAAATAAATTTTTCTTTTTTTTTCAAAAAAGAATATCTTTCATCTTAAAAATTCGTTTAAGTGCATACCTCAATGTGTATAATTGGTCAACATTCTATTTTTTTGTAAACTTAGCTGCTCTNATTACGAATCAACAATATAATAAAAGATATTCAATTGTTTGAAGACCCACTGAGACGCGATGATTTTTATTTTTTAACTCTAAACTTACCCGACTAACCACTAAATAGTGAGGTCAACATGAGATATAGAAGCAAGATCAGTGAGAAAAGTCGTCTCTGTTACTTTCAAGAGAATAAAAAACCGTTTTCGATAGGATTTAACTAGCACACAGGGAAAATAAGAAGAACCGAGTATGTCACTCTAATCCTGTGGTTCACTCCAACCTTCTATCTCAGCAAATTAATCCGATGAAGAGAGTATGAGTTTTTAGTAAAAAAAGAAACAAAATCTTCTTATGTCTACCATTGCCTGGACCAAAAATCTTGGTCACACACATGTCTAGTCATATTTCCTTGTTTTCTAGCCTTAATAGTACCCCTTCCCTCTTTTTGGAATTCCGTAGAAATGCTGTGAAATAAAAGCTAAAAGTCACTATTTTCATATTTTCAGAACTGATCGAAAGTTCAATGAAGCATTTTTCGTTTTTGTTTCAAGTTTTTAACTATTACCTTCACGAGTTTTCCGAAAAACTCGATTTTTCATTGTGTCACATCAGGACACTCCTTAAAGTTCATCCGATCGAGTTAAAAACTTTACCAGAGGTACTCAAGGTCATATCACAGAGGTCTTTTTTGGGAATCTTTGTCAAGTTATAGCAGAATACTGAAAAACGTCTCAAAACCCAAGTCTTCCAGTTTTAGAAACCCCTTCGGTAAAGAAAGATCTAAAATAAAATTCAAAAAAAATCTCTTCAACAGTGTCTTGAGTACCTACGGTAAAATTTTTAACTCGATTGGATGAAATCTAAGCGGGGTTCATAATGTGACACAGGGAAGCCCGGTGGCAAAAAAATGGTTTTCGATTATCTAGAATTTCATAAATATCTGTCGGCCTTATTGTGACCTTGATTTAATAACTAAATAAAGAATTTAGTGGTATCAAAATAAATATAGCAGAGAATTCAGAAATGAGCAAGTTCATTCAGATCTGATCCCAAGTCCAATCTAAGTCCATCAGAAAATACTGTTAAATGACATTTACTAATTAGTGATGGGAAGTTCAAAATACGTGGTAGAAGACTAAAGCGGCGGAGAAGAAAGTGTACCTCTCCTTGCAGCTACCTTTACCGATGTAGGGTCCTGACAAGTATCAGTTTCAATAGTCCGATATCTCCCTTCAATCTGACAATCTTCTTACATGGTCACCCATCTCGTTACTACTCTTCAACTGCGAAAATTTGAAAATACTAGTGGAAAATGTATGAATAATAACGCATATAACTCAGTTTTTCACTTGTCTGACGAATATCGTACTTATGTCATATAAAGAAGCTTTTGATATAAAACTAGATAAATACTGATCGAGATGTCGAAATATTATCATACTTGCAATTTTGTAGACTTTATATAGATCGTTTTCTGCTCTAAATAACTCACCTTAAGTGGAACAGGAGTGGGTATGTAGAGACATTATTCGAATCAGCGCTAGGCTCTAGGATCTGCAGCGAAGGTCAACATTTCAGTTATACATTTCTACTTTTGAACACTAAGGACATCATCTGTCAATCTTAAAACCATGATCAATGCAATAACTTTTTTCTGATAGATTGAAATTGTCCACCATATGCCGCATAGAATAAGATATCGATTTAGTCTATGGTGCGTGATCCTTGCACCACTACTCGGTTGTCTATAATACCTGATAGCGAAAAAAGTTAATTTTATAAGAACGGAGGATTTTTAGAAAATCCGACCTGGATTTCGTCGGGAAGTTCTCAGACATCAGAAACATGAGCTTCAAAACTAAGAAAAATCATGAAATGTTCAGATTACGACAAAAAAAGCTGAAAAACATTGATGAAAAATGATTGTAATGACACTCCTCGTTTCAGTTGAAAACAATACAATATAAAATCGTATAAAAGAAGATAGAAAAATAGATAGAATTTGAGTACAATGACTCTACTCCCTTATCTTTTCACTAATTTATGATTTTAACTGTGATAACTCACAGCATTCTGTGTCTGTTTTCATATATAGCGTTTATTTTATATATCTCCTTCGTTTTTAGTATCACTGCAACTATTACTTCAAGACACTCAGCGGTTGAAAGAATAAATTGATACTTATCAAAGCTTTGAAAAATACAACTCTCAAACAACAAATCATTTAATTAGACTGTGCAGAAACGTGACTAATGTATCCAGTAAAATTTTTTCTAAATCAATATTTTTATCTCCTGTTTTTTTTTTGCTATATTGCGATTAAACTGTCCAGGTAGTCTGATGTATTGTTTTCTTGTCAAGGTGAGGAGATTCAATCATAAAAGGGGAAAAGTTAACGAATACAATGTTTATTCACTGTGTCATAAATAAGCATTTGCTGAATACCAACGGTTAGGTTTGAACTAGATACATGTCTATTCTCACATAACAGTAAAATGACTTTTATAGTTGTTATAGCAAACAAACAAACGTACTAATGAATCTTACACAGCCAATTGATTGTTAACAACAACAACAACAAAAATAACTAATTATATAGATAACATTCATGTTATCCAATATTTAGCTAGATTTGAATTTCTGGAAAACTGTAAATGGCTGATGAACATTGAAAATTAATATGGGGTATGACGAATAAAAATATTTTTATCAAAAAGCTGTATTTAACTAAAGAATTTTCAAGTTAATTATTTAAGATGGTGAAGTAAACTACAAATCTGTAATCATCTCAATATTATATATTTCAATAGGAAAAAACAAAATAACAAATACAAATACTGCGAATGATAAATTGATATTTCATGAGACAGAAAAAAATAAGAAAACAATTTAATTGAAAATTATCCATAATTAAGTGACTAGTCGTCAAATGTTTAAAGGAGAGAAGAAACTGTTCTATAACATGAGCCATTCATAACTTCTTTGTTAATGAAAAAGAAATCCGTAATATGAGAGGGAACAATTAAATAACACAAAAAAAACATCAGATTTTAGATTATCAGTATGAGAAGGAGCACTCATAGAGAAACAAAGCAATACTTAGTTCTCTCAATGAATAGAAGATATTTCGAGAATGAATATTCTCTAGAGATCATTGAAAGCCCATAAGGATAAAAATTTAGAAGAGACTAAATAATAATTGGTTTATGCCTTAATCGTTGTTGTTCAATTAAACATGTGTCTCCGAATATATTCTGACGTCGAAGTGTCGATATATCTGGGTCAGAAAATGGTATCTCATGGTAAATGTGATACGCTGGAGGATTATTATTACTTAAATCGGTTGAATTTGTTTCTGAATGTTGCAAACATCCTCCTCTCACACCGTTTATTGAAGAAGATGCACAACTATGTGGACATTCTGATGGTAGAAAGTAATAGAATGGTGTCAATAGAGATGGCGGTGGTGATAGACATTTTAGAGTTGGCTGTTGTTCTAACGATAATGCTGATATGTCAGATCCACCAGCATTATAATACGATTCAATCGACGTTGTTTTAGATGATTTATGCTTTTTAAGTCGTTGTTTTCGAACAAGAACAATAATGATAACAATTAGAATGAGTAGAACGCTAATTGCGCCTAGTACAGTGCCTAATATTAAATATTGAAGATCTGTTGATGTTAAAGTTGTCGTCAAAGTTTTTGATATAAAAACTGATTTAGCTAAAGATGTAGAAGTTGTTGTTGAATCGGTGATTAAATCACGACAATATTTTTGTGAATTTAATATTGTTAAACATATGGTGTATTGAGTTTGTGATTTTAATTTTTCTAATAGAAAATATCTTTGACTAATATTTAAATTCAGAGACGGTAATGGATAACCATTTTCAATAACAAGTAAACGTAATGAAAGAGCACGCGATAATGCTGTCGACGATGTATTCCATTCAATAATAGCTGAATTATTATCTTTAATCCACACATTTAAATCAGTAATCATATCAGTTACCACAGTTGTTGTAGTTGTTTTTGTTGTCGTCGTTATTGATTCTAAAATGAAATAAATAGAAGAGTTGAAAATCATGTATAAACAGCTGGAGAAAAAAAAATGATATCAATTATTTTAAAAATTATTTCATATTAGTCAAATTTAAGGCTAAAAAACGCTTACCCATATTGTCTCTTACTAATGCTTCAGCTGTTGATAAAATTTCTTTGAATTTTGTAGTTGTAATGGTTGTTGTTGTTTCAGTAGCAGCAACCGAATTACATATAAAATGGTCAATATTTAATGTTGATAATTGTTTTCCATTTGAACATGTCCATTGTAAATATTGAATTAATTCTGGTTGAAATTTATCTTTTAACCATTTATATAATGATTTTAATTGACAATCACATTCCAATGGATTTGAACTGAGATCAAGTGTTACTAATTGTTTCAATTGTTTTAAAGTTTGTTCATTAAATGTTTTTAATTTATTTCCACTTAATTCTAATTCTTTAATTCGATTTTGATCATTAAATATTGGTACCATTTCTAATTGATTTCGTTGTAAATCAACTAATGTTAAATTTATTAATGATATAAATAAATCATCAGGTATATAGTCAATATCATTTGAGCTTAATTTAATACGTTCTAAATTTTTTAATATTTTCAATGATGATAAACTATTTGATCGTAAATTACATGCTTGAAGACTGATATTGATTAATGATGATTCAAGGCCATAAAATGTAGTTGAAGATAATTTAAGTGATGGATTACGATCAAGATTTAAACTTTGTAATGTTCGTGTAAAATTGAATAGACCTAGAGTAACAAAATCAGTTATAAACTTCAAAATAACTCTACTTTTAATGTTCAAAATTATTTACCTGTTGGAATTATTTTGATTGTATTTCTAGCTAAATTTAGTCGTTGTAATTGTTTCAAATTAGAAAATAGAAGATTCGTTTCTCCTTGATCATTTCTATTAAAATCAAAATCATTTCCTTGTAATGATAATAATTCTAATTGTTGACAACATTTTGTTGACGAAAATGTTTCATCATTTAATGTTTGAATTGAATTAAAATCTAAAATAAGTTCTTTAATATTGGTTAGTGAGTGAATAAATTCAAGATGTTGTTGTGTCAATTGATTATTTTGTACATTTAAATATTCTAATTGAGATAATTCAATTTGTATATCAGTTAAACCATTATACGATAAATCTAAACGTTTTAATTGTTTTGGTAAATTATCATTGTCAATGTATTTTATTTGATTTTGAGTTATTGTCAAGATTTCTAATTGTTGCAATGGATTTAAATTCATTTCAGTCAATTGATTATAATCTAAATATAGTAAAAATGGATATAAGATGCAGATGAGTATTCAAACTTTCAGGTTATATAATGAATGATTTAGAAGGGGTATTGCTTTAAGACACGAACACTCCCAAATTAAATCTGAGTTAGCCAATCGATAAATCTCGTCGAGTTGAGTATATAGCAACGCCTAACGAACAGCTAAAAAATTTTTTTTATAATTTCGCTTTTTAAGCATAGATTTTGAATGAACACCCACGAACACAAAGAACAAAGCGTAAAAGAACACCCAAAAAAGTGTGACAAATTCATTTCCAGGTTGTTCTGGGCTGAGGGAGAGGTGGTGGGAGGGAGAGATACTGGTAGGGTCAGACCAGCCTGGAGATGAATTTGCCACACTTTTTTGGGTGTTCTTTTACGCTTTCTTCTTTGTGTTCGTGGGTGTTCATTCAAGATTTATGCTTAAAAAGCGAAACTATGAAAAAGTTTTTGGGTGTTCGTTAGGCGTTGCTATACTCAGCTCGACGAGCTTATCGATTGGCTAACTCAGATTTTAATTTAGGGGTGTTTGTGAATGTTCATGGGTGTTCGCATCTTTCAGCAATACCCATTTAGAAGCGTTATCAAAATGAGATATTTGTAAAATATGTTAACACTTGCTGACAGTTCCAATTTAAAATCTGTCATAACCAATAGATAAAGAATTGGTCGAGTTGATTATCCTAGCATTGAATACGATTCAATTGGATACTTAATAACAGCCATTGGCATCCAAACAAGTTCCGAAGTTCGGAACGTTGAGAACCGAGTAGTATGTAGTTCGAAATCCGAACTACATATTACTCGATTCTCAACGTTGGAATACGTTTATATTTGTTAAATTAGAAAGTTAGACGCCCACTGATGTCTTGTTTAGATGTTCGCGGCTGTTAGTGACTAGACTTTGATTTTCCATAACCGTCACTAAACATCCATTTGAACTTTATTTGTTGTTTGTACAATCAACTCAATTAACAACTCTTTTTAAATTTTAATTCAGGACTCTTCACGAATCTTACTATATTTGATAATTAGTCTTGAAGATGAGTTCATCGAAGTTACTATAAAAACCCTACCTAATTGTAAATGTTTTAAAATTGGCTCTAATGGTTGAAATGCATCATGATCAATTATGTGAATATTACAATGTGTTAATGATAAATGTTCTAATTTTTTCATTAAATCAAAATTTCCAGATGTTAATGTCTGCAAATTAAGTCCAATTAATTTTAATGATCGTATATTTTGTAAATTTGTTTTTATTGCTATAGGTATTGTATCAACAATAGCTGAATCAAATTCGAGTACAGTTTGTTCTAAATAATTTGTTAATTCACGAAATGCTTGTGAATCCATTGATTGTAATTTATTTCCACTCATAATTAAACGTTTTACTCTTAAACCATTAAAATCATTGGCATTTATGTGTGAAATAAAATTATCTGATAGTATCAGTTCATCAAATGCTAAATTAAATGTTCGATTAGAAAAACGTGGTATTGAATAAAGACTTTTTCGTGCACAATGAACATAATTTGTTTGATCTTCACGTATACCACTTTGACAAATATCAAGAATATTTGATGATGGTAATGATGATGTATATTCAAATAAAAATAGACAGAAAAAAATGAAAAATAAATGAAAATATTGAATTTGTAATAAATGATAAATATAAGCATTAGCCATTGTCAAAATATTCATATAAAATCTAAAAATATAAAGTTATTTTACTCAAAAATCATTCTTCACAACCGTTGTCAATAACGAATACAGACGCACTTTAGTTTTAAGAACTATTCTTCACTATTAGATTATGAAATTCCATTCGATATTATCTACATGAGTATAACAAATATTAACTAATTTAACTGTTGAACGTGCCGTTGATAAAATAAAACTTGAGTATTCCCACTTCATAAAATTATACATATAATTTCTTTCTATCTTTCTTTCTCTCTCTCTCCCTCTCTCTCTCACTCTTCGCTTGTATAAACAATTTCTGTGTGATGAACAGAATAAAAATATTTCGTGTATATATCAAATATTAATTGTGTACATTGTACATATACACTCGTATTTCCTGGTTAATTGTGTGAGTGACAAACCTTTCTATAATATACATACCTAACATACAAATATGAGATTTCTATTAATAACATAACATAGTCTAAACTTCTCGTTCTGACAATAAAGAGAGAAATATCTTTTAAAAGACTATTACATCACCATCTCTCTTTTTTTTTTCTCTCCTTCTGAAAGTGTGTACGCCTCTAATGAAAACTATTTCTATTAATTTGTTTGTAGACTAACGGAACAAATATACTTTCTTTAAACATAACAGATCGATGAACAACAAGTCAACATAACACATTCTATGACGCCATAACTGTAACACTTAGATATGTGGCATTAAAACCAAGAAGAAGAAGAAGAGAGAAGAGAGAAGAGAGAAAGCTGTTAAAAACCAAAATGATACAACGTATATTAAACTGATGCAAGAGTCAAGTCAGCTTTTCCATTAGATCACAAAAACAAATAATTGAATAACATAAACTGGTGAAAATTTCTCACACACACATACCCTAAATGTCCTCCTTAATTTAATCCTATACACATATCAAAGATGTTAATACCACTGAAGAGTTTATTATTTCAACCAAATTATTGAGTTGAAATATTTCACACATAATTGAGTATATATTAACTGCTTTTAAACTCTTCAATGTTTAATAAGAATCCATTTGGATCTTTTATGAAATTTACAGCGCTTTTACTCTTTGACTATCTATGGTGAACAAATCAAATTGTTACTATACGATGTATTCATCTTTATCTTTTTGTTTTAATTTTTATTGCTTTTGTCTATCATATAGACATTTTAAAATTGAAAAAATTGTTTTGATTTATCATCTAAAAATATCACTTGTATTCACCGAAAAATCTCTATTGTACGCATTGTCTCTCTATGTTCAAACGTTAATCACGTTTGAATTAATCATTCTCATCTGATATATTGATTAACAAATACACGACTACATCATTGATATTTCTTTCTTCTTTAGAGCTAACTTTTAAAACATCTATTTCTTTTCTTCTCTCTCTTTCTCTCTACTTTTGAAATTTAATCTAAATCGCATTAGTTTTCATCATTGTCTTTTCTCTTCTTTTTCTTTTTTTGTTCAATGTCAAGTGATGATACTTATCAATGATACTCATCTTTTTTTTCACCTTATATACTGAACACAGTCTAATAATCATTTGACGCCAGAAGATGCTTGACTAAATTCCTTTTTGTTTTGTTTTTTTGAATGATTAGAATGAAATAATTCATCATCCTCTTATTTTCAAGACAAAAGATTGAAGAAACAGAGGCACTACGATTTTAAACAGAGATAAACAAAAAGATAGACGCGTCTCGAGTCTCAAACAAATAATTTGAACTCAATAATGTCAACACGAATAATCGTCTGGTTAGTCATTTTTAATCGTGAATAACTATCTATGAAGAATGATGTGTATTTTTTAAAAAATAAAATTCATACACTGAACCATCCATCCAATAGTTACTCTTTGTACAACGATTAAAGACAATCTTTCATACATCCCATCTTATTTCAAAATCGAATAGTATAAAAGAAAAAATGAAGGCTTAATTGTTAGCAATGTGTCATATCAGTTCAGTCGTGAAATTTTAAAAACGTCTTCAACTAAAACTGATTGCAGATTTGGACTCTCCATAGTTGGTTACCTTGTACGCAACAAGTTCTGAATCATGATACTCTAGAAAAATTTCTTAGTCTCATTCGGCCCTTGATTCCCTCCAGGAACTTTGTAAAAAATTCATTTGCAAAACAATGGAAAAAAAATTTTCTGGACTATTCAGACTCAAAACTTTTTGCTTACAAGGTAATCAGAACTATGAAGAGTCCGAATTTGCGATGAGTTTTGACCAAATATGCTTTTACAATTTCTCCACTGAATTGATCTTCATTTTTCTAATAGTTGTTATAACTTTCATATTTTTATTTTTTCATTTTTATTGACGTTCAATTTGTGAAAATTGTATATGGAATTTTAAAAAATAATTTCAATTTTTTCAATTCTAATATAAATGACTTACCTTTGTCTAACTGTCACGTTTGTTAATAAAGTATTTCTTTTGCATAATTAGTAATTGAATATTTCATACTCTTGCCAGTCACTGCAAGGTCGCTTATCACATTCATGCACACACACACACACTCTGACTACTAATGAACGAACTGTGTATAAAATACCACAGAGAGAGAGAGAGGGAGCGAGAAAAAATTTACATTTTGAATGTTACAAAATTTGATAGCTATATATATGCGTGTGATGGAAAGAATAGAGTAAAAATATTCTGAACAAAAATATAGACAATGGGATTAATGAATTTATATTTCTATGTGAAAAAAACAACAGTTTCTCTTTCTTTCTTCTCATCTGTTCTCATTTAATCAATATAAAACTGATGGAGAAATGAACGAAACGAAAATCTCTCTCTCTCTAAAAGTGTCATTTATTCATCATTTGCAATTAACTTTAGAACACAATAGTGTTCAAAGCAACCGGCCTAATATCAACAACAAAAAGAAGAAAGGTAGCTTTCAATTTTTTTTTCTTCTTCTTTGCCTTTAATTGAAATAAATCTAAATCATCTGTATCAAACGAATGACTAGATGTGTTGGCAAACATTTTTGATGTATATTGACACCCTTTTATTTTAAAATATTTATCATTAACAAAGAGGAAAAAATTGGCTACTGTAGATTATTACACATTCACCTAATTTAACAATTTAAAGTTAAAAGTATCCGTGCTAAATGGATTTCGATCATCAAAATAAATAAAAGATATTTCATTTTTGTTTACATGTAACATCCGTTCATCATACGTCATCAATCACTGGAATTTTCACGCATACACACATAAACAATATATCATAGACTTTGAACAAATGAACTGATTCGGATCTCTATCAGTTTATTAAAAAATGACTTTTATAGAATTTGACTAATTTTAGAAACTAAGTCCTACATTTACATCTAAACAACGTAATGTAAACATTACGCAGACAGAATAATAATTATGACAACTAATTTTTCAACTATACCTGAACAGTTATTTCAAAATGAAATTTGTACTGAATTATACTGAGAACTCTGTCTCTTTCTCTCTCTCTCTCTGAATAGAAACAGTTTTCTTCTCTTTGTTGTGTCTCATAGGTACCACACAATATGTACTTGAATCACAGTATACATTAAATTTGAACAAAAGAAACAACGGCGACAAAAACATAGACGAATTTAATAGCATCTATTTAATCTATCTGTAAAAGAGAGTGATGAACATTAACCCTGTCAAACGGTTATTTTATTGCATGTGTAATCAACACAATAGGATACACATGTACATTATCACTATCTTGCCATTGTATCATCAAAAGTTAAATAATAGAAAAAATTTAATTTCATGGTCTTTTAATATCTATACATCGAGGAGTTCGACGTTGCAAGAAAGAAGAAGCATACATTTTTGGACAAAAAAGTTTACTACCATTTTCGTATCATAAATAAATTTTTTTTCTTCAAAAGAAATACTTACTGGATCTTTTTCTTTAGATTTGTTTCGAAATGAAAGGCGTACAATACAAACATTGTGTTATAAAATAAATTTTTCTTTTTTTTTCAAAAAAGAATATCTTTCATCTTAAAAATTCGTTTAAGTGCATACCTCAATGTGTATAATTGGTCAACATTCTATTTTTTTGTAAACTTAGCTGCTCTGACATACATCGTAAGGCTTTGCATTGCTTGAACGAAGTGTCGCGTATAAAAAAAACAGTATTCTTTCTTTATCACCCAGTTGAACAATTAGATCTATGTGGTACACTTTCTTTTCTTTTTCTTTCTATTGCTGCTACTAAAACCATATAGTGTGAATGACGAAAAACGATTAATGAAAGAACAAGGTGTTCAAATGAAACTGTATACAGAGAGACAGTTTGTTTTTGTCATTATGTTATTCTTATTACGAATCAACAATATAATAAAAGATATTCAATTGTTTGAAGACCCACTGAGACGCGATGATTTTTATTTTTTAACTCTAAACTTACCCGACTAACCACTAAATAGTGAGGTCAACATGAGATATAGAAGCAAGATCAGTGAGAAAAGTCGTCTCTGTTACTTTCAAGAGAATAAAAAACCGTTTTCGATAGGATTTAACTAGCACACAGGGAAAATAAGAAGAATCGAGTATGTCACTCTAATCTTATGGTTCACTCCAACCTTCTCGGTTAGCCTGTCTCAGCAAATTAATCAGATGAAGAGAGTATGAGTTTTTAGTAAGAAAAGAAACGAAATCTTACCATTTAAGACGAACTAGTAGATACTGGTCATTCTTTCTTCCTGAATGTCATTAATGATCTCCTATTGTTGTCGTAAGTGTTACATTTCGTAAGTTCATCACAGATGTTATTTTAACATTCTCTCTCTTTCTTTCTCCCTCTTTTTCTTCCTAGTCGTCTAAAAAAAGGAATTTCTCAATTGAGTGAATCTTCGATATGTATCAAAAATCTTAATTATGTGCGTTGTATGTGAAAATGAGGAATTTTTATAGGATCAATAGAGAAGTCAAGATTTGTTCTCTCTCTCTCGTGCACTGTTCTAATTTTGAGGTGTTGAAACGCACATTTCCTAAACAATAATAATAAGATATGTATAAAAAAATTTTCTTGAGTCGTTCATATATGAAAAGAAGTAAAGCGAAACAATAAAAGCTCTATTCATAGGTGTTGAATTCTCTCTTAAGATATTCATTAGAGGGAAGAGCTAACAGTAATGGATAGAAAAACAAATTTTTTATGTGAAACAAGACCAGTTTAACGAAGAAATATCGCACATGAACAATAGATCTCATCAGATAGCGTGACTGACATTGTACAAGATATTTGCTTTGAGAAAATTGGACAGGAATATAGGAGACTTTTCCAATCACCGTTGTCAACTGTAGAAAAAGCCTAAATATTAACAACAGAAATTTTGTCTTTAGAAATGATGGTCTTAACGTTTCGAGTCAACCAAATTACTTTCGTGGCATAATCTT